CTTGTTAACACCACTGAAGGCATGGGTAAATGTGATTAAATATTCAGTCTACATTTTGATTAATTTCAATCTGCAAGCCTACAAATCCTAAAAGAGACTTTTGTTGCAGAATTTTGTACAACTGAACTGTTGCAGTGGAATTGTTAGCCTACTTCCTGCGGGGTTATTACGACTCCACAAATAAATAAACATTATAGATTGCTCAAAAATTACACTATTGAGTAAGCTACCACAGACACTTTATAAATCCCCAAAGGAATATAAGAACATTTCCGATGTTCTCACAACAGGGGCTGCATCATTTATCTCCTAGGTTTTTAAGGTCATCCTGGCTAAGATTAATTAGATATTGATATTTGTTTTATTTATTTTGTTGCATGTTACACGAAACACAAAGAGATCTCTTGCAAAAAAAACAAGTAAAGCTTTGTGTATGATATAAACATGACATGTGCCTCACGCTGTTTTACGCATGAAGGGTTCATTATTATTTTATTTTTTTACAAGCTCGAAGACATTATCAGCATGAGGTCACACTGCAAAACAGTATTGCCCAGAAAGGAAAAGAAACAATTAACTGCATCTTTGTTAAATAGTTGTTATATATTTTCAAGCAGTGTATTACGTGTTACTTTTCGGTAAATCCATATAGTCTTTTTCAAATGGCACAATATTTTGTTTTTTTATTCGAGCATAAATCAATGACTGATCATCAACACAACTCCCACATATTGCGAAGCCACTAAAAAAACATCAACACCTGCTGTGTAAGATCTATAACAGTCTGAATAAATATAACATTTTACAGAGATCCTAATATAACCACAAAAACACCGAGAATATTTCCACACTGACACACAGCCCTTGCAAGAATATAACGAGAAAAACATCGATTCTTGCTCTCACAGCAGCCTCGCCGTGTTTGGCATTATAAATCAGATAGGAGCGAGAGAGGAAGAGGAAGAGGAAGGAGGGGATCCTCACCTGCACCCTGGCCTCGGACAGACCCAGCCGCTGGCTCAGCTCCTCCCGCATGAACGCGTCCGGGTAGTGCGTCTCGTCGAAGAGCCGCTCCAGCTCGTTGAGCTGCTCCAAGGTGAAGTTAGTGCGACTCCTCCGCTGCTTCAGCTTGCCCTGTGCGTCCTCATCCTCCGACTTCACGTCCTCCTTTTTCTCCTTACACTCGTATATCCCTGTTAACCGGACCATGGTTACAAAATAAAGGAAATAAGATGCGTTTAATTTCCGGACTTTAATAAAACATGCACTATCTCTCCCCGTCCTGGGCCCCTGCACTGGGCCCTGTCAGGGGCCTAAGGCCTGGCAATTTGGCAGCAACACACACATTACACAGCCTACTTCTTCTGAGAGAGAGGGGGGGCCTGTGGCTGCATTTCCAGCCTCCATAAGTCAGTGCTGTAAGGTCAGTGCCGTTATGAAAGTAAATCAGTCTTTACATGCCATGTAAGCCTAATAAGGATAAGCGATTTAAAGAGCAGAGAATTAAGCTCCGGCAAAATGAGAAAGATTTAGGCCTAATTACTCGCCTCCGTAAAGCAGGCTGGGGTTATTTCAGGCTATTAATTAAAAAAAGTCAGTCCTAAAATGTAATTTCCTTTTTTCCATTATATCCTTAATATGCCTGTATTTTCAGTGTAACACGTTGTCAGTATGGTATTCATCCATAACATTGTATACTGTACTATATTGTGCTAACATTTATTTAAACCGACATGACAACAAACTGCTGCAATTACTGGCTTGTTTGGTCCCATGTTTGTAGTCAGGTGAGGTTATTTTATTTTAAAATGGTTTAATATTATATATTTCAAATGATTAAATGCCAATCCCATCGCATAAATAACTGTCTTCTTCTATTATCTTGCAATAATATCAACCAAAAAAAATAGAATGATAGTATGGTTAATAATACTGAGCCATTTTCACTTTGCCTGTAAGATACATGTAAAAACAAGCTAGGATGAATTAATAATTGTCTAGAATTCTTCACACTGCACACTTTTTGACTGCTCAGTCAAACGTGTCCTGTTTTGCTGTTTGACTTTACTTTTTATTTAATTAATAATTGACATCATTTGTTTTGAAAAATATCTATCTTTAGAACATTTTCTGTGGTACATTTTTTAATTTACAGAAATGTAACAGCTGAAAGTATTTCCATTTTCAACAGCAGTAGACTATGGCATCAGCCATATCTTTTAAATGTAACACGATGACAATCGTTTTGCAGTTACACTTGTAAAAGATGCCAAACATTTATTTTTCAGAAATAATATAATTATTGTAAGAGATAAGAGAAGAAACATTGGAGGAGGAACGATCCCATACACTTTATTATGATTTTCTTCGGTAAGGAAGTAGGCTACCTTAAAGGTAAGGAAAAGTGGCCAAATATTTTCGTGTTGGCAAACAATGTTAAATTGCCACTATAATAGGGTTAAACTCAGTAATCAAAGCCAGATATATAATGTAATACTATTGTAAAAAAGATATGAAAGGGTAATATGATTTTTCGTTTGGCCAAACACTGAACGTCTGTCAACAATCATCAAATAGTTAAAACGGCGACCAGACGAAGGGCCCACCTCCTGCTTTGTAAAATCATCTGTGCAGCAACAGAATAAAACGTTAACTTTCCAAGTCTACTTTAACTTTACGCGAACCGTAACGTAAACTCGTTTTACGCACGGATTCTCGGGCATTTGTAAAAGCGGAAACGTCGCTGTCGATACAAAACAACTGAACTTGAGACATTTCCCCGACACAAAACGGCAACATTTTCTTAAAATTATATCAAAACCTTACCCTCGCTCGACCTCGAAACGCTAAAGTCCTTCAGTTTGTCCTTTTCCAGCTCGACGTGGTCCTTGAACAGATGCGCCGGGCAGCCCTCCGTAATGTCCTGCAGGTTTGTCTCCGGGCTGCCCAGCTCCCTCGCCCTTGTCAAGCCGCTCTCCAAAACTTCCCTGTACGTGATACTCTCTTTGCTGCTCTCCTTGGTTTTCTGATCGAAAGATTTCGACACGAATGCCGTAAGTTCTTCCATGGTCGGCTCTGTCGCTCAGTAGTGGTCCTGGTCAGGGAAATCCACCGTGAGTTGTACCTCACCGTGTCTCTACCAGCACTGCAATAACGCTCTTTTTTGGAGGCTGGCAGCAGCGACAGATAGAAGGGGTGGAGAGGAGGTGAGATCACTCCTGCTGTTGTGACTGTGTATTTGAGAGCACACTATTTATACACGGCCACCTCAGCCCAGCCCCCCCACCCCTCTTCCCTCCGATCTCTGTGTCTTGAGCAATTACAGGCCGGCTCGACTTTGCAGAATTCAACTTTCAGCAGCTTTTTTTTCTTCTTCTTCCTCCACAAATCAATGATGGAGCTGATGGAGGCGGTTAATTGAATTACGGGTCATTAAAATGCCTACGGTGGCTCTCTCCTGCGAGGAGGCTGTATATGGCTGTTATGTCTAATTAATTCGGCGAAAATTCAATTAACGCGATTAGAAGATACACATGCTGGGTTTGTGGGATTGCCCCATGATTTGTTGGTGTTTGTTGAGTAGAATAATGTGTTTAAAAGCTATTTTATGGGCAACTCGGTCCACAAAGTATACCTATAATCTCTGTTGTGTCAGCTGAGTGGACTTGTACTTTCAAAAGGATGTCGTATTATACAAGTCTTAGGTCAAAGACACATTCAAAAACATAAATACAAAAATAAAAGAGGTTATTTAGCCTAATTGAAAAACATATTGACTTACTAAACCCTAAATATTATGAAACATCACTATAAACTTAATTTACGTTAAATTGATATTAGTAAAAATATGTTAGGTCCCATTCCTTTGTTTTCCACAACATTTTGTTATATTATTTATCCCATATTAGAGGTATTTTCATCGCTCTCTGCCTTCCTAAAACAAGTGTATTAAAATCAACCTCAATGCACACTGGAAATCACGAGTGAAGGTATCCAGCTAGCAACACATACATAATGATGGGATAATGCTGTAATTAATATTGGGCTGTTGTAAATTCGGGTCCCTTTTGAGTATTCACTTGTAATCCTTTGTGGTTTCCGGTTACAAATATGAGCTACAAATCAATATCAGCAGTGGAGAAAAAAAAATGTTCTCTATTTACAGGATTTTCATGGGAATAAGTGAGCCCATAATGGCTTAACGTTATCTAAGTCGTTCATCAGTCCAGCACACAAACACAAAAGGCCGGGAGAGGAGTGAGATCCCCTGGGTCTGCAGCCCTGAGCGGCCCGCCACTGTGAAAGTCTCATATCTCAGCTCTCTAATGACTCGGTTTGATGTCTCTCCATTTATCAGTGAGCCCGCTTCACATCACTGCGGCTGACGCACAAGTCGAGGTCTCTCCCTTGTGCCATGAACTGCGCCTTTTGTTGTTAATAGACCCAAATCCTCTTTAAGACGCAAATCTGCTCTCCCAGTCGCGTGCCTCGATATCACACCATCACAATAGAGTGGCGTTTACACAAAAGGCGCACGTGTGTAACGAAATAATTCACCAAAAAAAAATGGAATTAAGGGAAATATTTAACTTTTACGCACAGGATCCGAATAGTCTATCTCACTCTGGGATCTGAAGAAGAGATCATTTATTTGTATTGTCATGTTGGTACGTAATTGAAAATAGGCCTATATCAGTGCTGGGTTAGAGAACATTTGCACATGCAACAAATACAATCTAAAATGTTGGAAATACATAATTAATCAGATGCAGGTATACATTTATAATTAGGATATCTTTTTTGAACTGTTAAGCATTGTGTTTTAAACGGTGTATCCAACTCGACTGCTCATTTACAATTATTCAGTGCAACAACATATTCATCCGGAATAATAAAGGAAAACATATCGCCAGAAGGCCTATAGGCTGTGCATATTTAATATGAATGGCAAACACAATACCAATTAAAATGAGACAACGTATATCACAATGCAGGCTATCTTTTTTCTTTAATCAAATGTAATTTTGTTTTTATTTTACACTAGATAGATTTTATATGCAGGTCCCTTTAAAAAAAAAAAAAAAAAGACTTGTAATCGCACATATTTAAAGCATGTGGTGTCCAATCAGCAGCAGCCTGGAGGAACATCAGAAGGAATCCAGGAGGGATGCTCTTTACGCACCGACGCTGGTGTCGCTGCAGTTTAGTGGCCAACAACTTTTAAAGGGGCCTCAATCATATTTTCACTTGCCGTTCATTCCTCACGATCCCAGCACCCCGCCTTCCTGCTGCACTGCACTCCGGGAAAAACAGTCATGTTATTTTAAATTATTAATTGGTTTATTTGTTGTCAGTCAGTATTATTGTTGTTATTAGTGTGGCCAATCACATGACATAAAAGGGGCACAGTGTGCTTAAATCCGACAATACATAGAATTTAAAGCAATAATTAAAAACAAAATACTAAAATATTAATATCATTATTATTATTCATAATATAAGAAGTAGTATTAGTAAACCTAATAATAACGTAATTTGTTTCCATTTCAATGATATTCAGGTCCTATTTTATGGACTATAGTTCCTGTTAATGTAAATGTTATTTATTTAAATAAGAGTGTTTTTTTTTCAATAATTGGGCACCTAATTTCTAGTTTAAATCTCTACTTATAATGATCAATTATGATTATCAGCTTTAATCAATGGGGTCTCTCAGAAAAAATGATGTCCTACATGTTTACTTTTATTGCAATACTCCCATGTTTATATCCATTGTACAAAAACAGCTCCTACCTGATTGGTTAGTTCAATCATTTGGAAAATTAAAGCATCAAAGCTCACTAATCAACAATAAATATATATATATTTTTTTTTTCTACCTTTAACACATCTTTGGAAACCTTTCTAAGTGCTAAGTAGACTTCCACTTGACTGCAAGTTTCTTTACGTTGAGTTAAAAGTCAAATATATATCCCTATAGGAGGCGACAAGCGCTGTCTTACTGTCCATAAACCTACTCATGCCCTGATCGTCCATTTACTGCTAATTAGGGAGCTGAGGAATTCCTTCTCTACCTGCTTGTGAAGGCTTTGGAACATTATCAAGACATCAGCAGACTTAAATGAGTCTGCGCTGGCTGGAGGAGAGCTTAGAGACAGAGAGACAGAGAGAGAGAGAGAGAGTAGAGGAGAGGAGAGGGAGGGTTAAGAGACAGTGTGGAAGAGAGGGAGAGGAAGTGGGGGGCCACGCTGTAGCAATGCAAAGCAATGAGAAAATTAGGATTGTGTTGCCCCCATTGATCAAACATCAGATTTAGCACGTTAGATATTAGAGCTGAACTGTGTTAGAGGCCTGTAGCCTGTGCGAGGGTTGTAAATCCCTGTGGTGGTGCTAGTATCCAGATTTAGAGATGAGCGAATACAGGAAGGGTCGGAGCAGCCGCTGCCTGGACAGCAAATCCTCACCCCAACAAATGCCACTACACTGCTTCAAGCTGTTCTCTACACCAAACTAATCCCTCATGTGAGGAGCAACGGATGATCCTAAATGCAGATCTCTGCTTCTGGAAGTTTGCCAGGATTTTTTTTCTTCCCAGAGAGGAGACTATAATGAAATCATTTAATTAGGCTACTTATAAATGGGCAATAAAAAAGTCAAAGGATTTCATTTTCTCTTTTTTATACTAAAAATCTTACGACAAATTATGTGTAAAAGAGAGATGGAAAGATAACAAAAGATGCGTTTTAACATGCACCCGAGCGACTCTCTGCGCAGTGCTTCAGTAAAATCGTTTGTGATTGTCTAAATGTTATACTCGGCCCCAAGAGAGCAGAGTGAGTTTTGAAAATGTAACTTAAAAAGCAACTACTGCACCTCTAGCTTCTAATATAATTTCCACGACCATGAAGCTTCTTTTAGAGCAGCGCTTATCTCAAAATATCATCATCTCATACTATAGGGACAGGGAGCAGCACAAAAATGCAATAAAGTGCTATACTTGAATCTGATTCAGCAATGCAGAGATGCTGTACAGATGTGGTTCTGTGCAGAAACAGAAAATTGGATTCTTCCCTGGTGGAAAAATGTAAGGCTTTTTTTGTGAGGGAAAGGAGGATTTGAACAGGCTGTCATGTTAATGACAGTGATTGTGTGTTTGTTTATTAGGCTCCTCTGGCTTGTCTGCGGGGTACAGGGATCTTGTGGTTTCTACATTGTCTGGTGCCTTCATTTAGGTCCTTTTCCAGTGCTGCAGCGGTCCACTGAGACTACAGGCTGTTCTGTGTTCAAAAGCCTTGTCTGCCATCTAAATGAGGCTTTCGGGGCAAAAAAAGAGAAAAAAATTCAACATGAAAATACCACAATGTGCTGAACATTAGCTCGCACTCGACTGGGATGTTTTGGGAATATGTTGGTTCTCCTTTTTGGATTGTTATTTTTCCCTGTGTATTCTCTAACTGCTTTCTACCCACAGGGCACTCTTGTTGAGGGAAAAAAAAAAGGCATGAAATTGACATTATACCCTTAAATGCAGTGCAGATTTACAGGAAAAACACAGTAATCCACAGACAATGCTTGAAAATCAAACACAGTACTCCTTTCTTTGCCTCATTCTTTCCATAACAAGCTACAATTTGCTCTTCAGGTTAAATCTACTCATTAATTACTTTCATCTCCTTAAAATAGTTTCCTTTCATTTACGCCCAAAAAAAGAAGGGATTTTTTTTTTTTCCTTCCGTTTATTCCCTCATATGGATACTTTTGTTCTTATGGTCAAATACTCTGGGGAAGGGCAACATTTTATACAAATCAATAGCGTTCAAATAATTCATGACTGATCACATGGTGTTTTAGCTCCTTATTTGCAGTAGAAACCCGTGTTTTGTTTGGCTCCCAGAGGGCAACATGAAAGAGACCTGGGGAGAGGCGGGGAGAATTGGGAATGGAACTGAAGCGAGAGCATGACGATAATAGGAGGACATTGATCATTTGGTGCAAAAGAAGACAACTGAACCTGTGAGTGGAGGCTAACAAGACGTATCATTTATACATTATTTAGATGTGTCTGGGCTTCTCGCGTGCATTTTGTTACATCAGGTTTGCATCATCTTCTTTGGAGGGGACACAGCGCGCTGACCTGACACGATACGAATAAATGCTATTTATGGAATTCTCTAATTGTTATTGTTCATGTCCTCGAAAAAATATATATACGAAACAACCAACATGGCAGTTTGATGCTGATTCGAGTCAGATCCTCCAGTGTTATCGATTGAAGATTACTATTGTGTATTGTGGGAGCAAAGAAATCCAACATTGGGCAGCGTTAGTCAGTCACAGCTTGTAATAAAAATTAATTTTGTGAATGTGGAGATGGATCAAGTTCCCTCTTGGCAGGGGGAACCATCCCACAGACATGTTAACAACGTCTTCAGAGACCAATGAGGCCCATTTACAATAAGTGTCTGTTTTAAGTCGCTTGCTTTGTGTGTGTGTGTGTGTGTGTGTGTGTGTGTGTGTGTGTGTGTGTGTGTGTGTCTCACCACAGCGGGCTATAAGGGGTCCCTCTGGTGTCAGCCGGAGAGCAGCCATTTGAGGCAAACTGTCTTTCATGGAGCGATGCTACACTTTCTCAATCACACAATTAAAGCCGGGTCTGGAGAGAAAAGAGAGAGAGACGGTCTTCTGTTCACAAGAGCAAGGGAGAGGGAGACAGAGGGATTGCATTTTTTTTTAACACAGAGTGATTTATGTTGTGGTGTTGAGAAAAGAGGAGTCCTTGATAGATGACTTCATTAGATTTAATTAACAGAACCGAAGACCCCACACAGACAGAAGGGGAGAGAGTGGATTTGAAAAGGGGGATAGAGGGGTAAAAAAAGGGGTGAAGGAAACAAGGAGTCTACCCAGGAAAACAGAGAGGTAGTGCAGAGTGAGAAAGGGTGAATTGAGAACATATGCCAGAGATTAGGATGAGAATGGTGATGCATGAGGAAGAGGTTTGTTATCATGTGTTGGTAGGTTGCTGTGTGATCAGACAGGAGTATCTGGGACGTGGAGGAAAGCCAAAGAGTCCCCATAATACCAGTTTGACCCCTACATGAAGCTCAGTGGCCCGTTTAAGAATGCACACATACTTTAAGTGGTGACACACCAACTCACCCGCATGTGAGTGAGACTGATCCATCATGTGCCGCAGGCTGTGTCTGTTGGCTGAAGGCAGGCTTTGATGGGCCAAATCACTGCCTCTCTCCTATCACACATGTCTATCATCTCACCCCTTTGAATTTCTCTCCCCTCTAAAGAGACAGAGGCCGGAGCCGCAGTGACTACAGTCAAACTAGAGTCAACTTTCTGTAGACTTTGAATCTAGTTTGACATTTTTAGATATAACATTTAGACTGCCACTCTAACCTGTACGGTGGCAGGCAATATTTTTTGATTTATCAAGCAGTGACTTTGACATGTTGGGCATCTGCTGCTACCACTACTGCATAGTTAGGACATGAAAATGTTAGCACTGGAAGAATGTGAGCCAACCAAAGGAAGAAGCAGGTGGACAAGAAGTCTGGGATAGACAGGAATAGACAATTGTCTTTTTTTTGTTGCAGAAGCAGTCCAAACATCACATGTTTGTTATTAAGAGAGCATCGAGTCAGTTAAACAAGTCATGATATCATCATTTTGTTGCCTGACCAATCAGTAACGAGAAAACCACGGAGAGGTCATCATTAGTAATAGATAAGGTTGTAAAAGCGATTTGTATTCAGCACCACTTTACATGTATGATTCATACGTGTTGTTTCATATGTTAGCTGGACAGTGGTATATGCCCTCTCTACAGTCATTATAAGCTGCCAGTTATTAGCTCAGTGAGCTGCTGTAGGCAGGGAGCAGCTGTCAGTCCTCATCCATCCATCCCTGTCTGCTTTAACTCAGGTGTGATGGGAGGAAGAACCTCAGAAGAAGCCTCAATTAATCTAATTCCCACTCAATTCATTTGACACACCTAATCTATAGGTGCAGGCAGCACAGATGTGGTACTGAAGAAAAGTCATATCACATATAGAGTCAAACATTTGCACTGAAATTCCTGATCTTTTTCTCTTAATTACATCACCTCTCTCCCGCCTTGCTTTCCTCCTAACCTCATCCATCCATCAGATGGATTCGAGCACCAATCACGTGGTCACATGACATGAATGGGTAATCAGTAGGTATTAGTGCATGTTAACAACCCCTAAGCTGAAGACGATTCCCCTCTCGATATTAAAGAGATAACACAGCGAAGGAGCAAGAAGCAAATGGCCCTAAGCCTCCAGCTATGCTCCCCTCCAAAGTTGTTTTCCTGGAAAATTAGGCGATTGACTAATGGCGTAAATGCTGTTAATTACCGGCACCAGTACCCCAAACAGTCGTCTCTGCCTGTAACTAATAAGAAATCAATTAGCTAATGAATTGGTCATTAAGTGAAAAGCTAATCTTGGCCGAGGTATTTTTTAATGATTATTTTTTGCCTATGATCCTGGCTAATTGCCGTTGTCATACGGCGCTCTCAGCTTTCAGCATGCCTAATGAAGCTTCATTAGATCATAACTGGCACTCTTGGAAGATTCGTGGGCAAACCTGCTTCCCAATTATTTTTAATTGCCAGACATTCTGCACAAACAAGTGCCGCTGCACCTTGCGGAACAGGAGAGCTCAGGCTGGCTGTGCTGTGTTTCCTTCATGACTTCATTTGAAGCGATTAGAGCGCGGGGCAGGGTCGTCGCCGAGCTGCTGTTGTCTGTGGTGGATTTAAAGAGCCTATCAGCTCAAACTGCTGGGCTCATTGTTGCGTGTCCTTCCTCACTTTGATTTGCACTGAGGAGAAAAGCTGCTGCTTCCAGCGTGGCTGAACTGGCTCTGATTCGCCCGTGTGCACAGACACTGACGGACACATTGTGTCTGCACACAGTCAAACACACACAGACAAAGAGAATGCATGCATTAAACTGGCATTTCTTTGCAATTACAAGAGCACACACAGAGACAAACACAAATATATGAACACACACACACACACACTGCCTGCACCATCGTACCTGTACATGTGTCAGCTGACAAAAACAAAGGAGAGAGAGCATCCCTCCCGGGCATGAATAATTAAGAAAAGACAAAAGAGCCTTGTTTTTTTTCCTCCTGTATCTCCTTCTTTTGTGTGTGTAGTAAACCCCAGTGTAGTGTACTCTGAGTTCCCCACTAATAAGATGGAGGATCAGTCTCTCCATGGTGCTCACACAACACATGTTTCCAATCTGACCCTGTACAAGTATCTCTCTGACGTGAAAGGCTTGTGGTGAAAACAGGACGGCTGTAACTCTGTCAATCCCGCAGGTGCTTTTCGACAGTTTATGCCAAATTTGCCCTTCCTTCAAACATCAGGTCTGTTTCTCTACTGTTGCTCGAGATGATAAACACAAACAATGCAGCTTCAATGGCACGGGGCTGAAACATTGTTTTGTTTTGTTGGCATGAGCAGAGAGACAAAAGAAATGTGTCCAAAATCAACTGCTTGTTCTCAAAACAATATTTGGGAAGCTCAGACTCAGTTCAATTAGGCAGGGAGCTACAAAATGTCTTTACCACCTGCGCTTGTGAAGACTTTGGGATATCAAGCAAAGGCATATTTGTCCAATCACAATACAGTTTTTGCCAAACATTGTGCCTTTGAGAAAGCAGCCAATCTTTGTAAATTCCAGGGGATTGATTTGGTGGCCAAGGCCTCTGGTTTCTGATGATGCCAAACATCTCACCCCAGGTGCCTTTGTGTGTCTGCATATGTGTGTGTGTGACACACCGAGAAGAGGGCTGGGCCTACTTCACTGGCACGGAGAAGTTTGATGGCGGATGAATGGCACTCCAGATGTCTATCAATATTTAGCAGTAAACATCCCTGGCAGGCGGGGAGACGTGGCAGCTGAGAGGGTGAGGTGGTGCAGCGCTGAACTGTTGACTTTCAGTTTAACTCCATAAGCTGGAAGGTAAAGCATCTCTGAAGGTGGCAGTGCCAGGCACAGCTGTGACAGCCTCAAAATGGTGGGAAGTAGTTACATTTTGTTAATGATCTTTACTGAAAAATAGCCAGATTCTTTTTAAAGGAGCAGGCCATTCGCACATGCAACAGTTGTGATTTCTGATACGTTTAAAAATCCCAAGGTCCTCTTTTATCAGGACAGCAGAAAATGTTTAGTATAAAAGTGAAAAGCAGTTTAAAGAAAATATAGAAACCATATGGTGATTCCAATCCATTCAAACACATGAATGTCCCGGAGATGTGCATTCGCTTTCTAAAAGTACCAATGCATACGGATATATTCCTGTATAAAACTGTGTGAACGCGCAAGTTCCCAACATTACAACCTTATATCATTAATATCCTAAAAAGCTCTTTCTCATTTAAAGCTACAGCCTATAACATTTATCATTTTACAACTACAGCAAAGATGAAAAAGCATCTTGTGCGTTGTCAAGCGATTGGCTGTTGGTATACGGTGCCACGGTCATGAACCAGCCAGGTAATGTTAATGTAGATCCTTTCATGAAAAAACATTGCATTGACAAACCTGCTCAACGGTCTAAAGTCTGCCACAGATGACATTTGTTGTGTATATAACCTCTCTCTCTCACTCGTGCACACACACACTTGCACACACACACATTCTCAAATCACATTACAACACATCTAATTGACGTTTATGATGCAGAGGAGAGCATATGCTCATTGAGCCAATTGAATCATTAGAAAAGCACACAGTAGTCCGAGGACCTGCCAGAACTGCAGCTGAGGAAAATATGTGAGGGCCTGGATTTCCTGTCCATGAACGTTACCGAGATGAAATATGCACATTTCGACACTGAAACGCACATTTTACATGCAGTATGACATGCTTCGGTTATGCAAATCTAGCATTGGGTTAGACTGGTTGTAGCCAGGTCTGTGTGGTGGTGATATCTCCCCACATTTCGCTTCATCCTTTTCCTGAGAGCCGGTTGAGCTCTGACATCCTCGCACGTCCACACATTCTGTCTGACATCGGGCCCTGTGGTAAGATGCTCCTTGACCGGCCTTGATCCACGCAGAAAGGAGTAAGTGGAGGGGAAGTTAGATAGACAGGAGCAAAGACAGCCCGTCAGAGTTAAAGGCAAACAGACATTAGGCTTTCCAGAGCTGCAGTTGCTCTCTCTGACTCTCCTCCGCTTCACACTTTATAAAATTTACATGACGCATCAGAAAGGCCACAAGAGCCTCTTTGATTGTGGAACTATGCCTGAAAAATACATCAGTCGCCATCTTCTCTGGCGGAAAAGCTAGGAGACAGAATGAAAATACACTTGGAGCGTTCACACACACCCTCTGATTCGCAAACATTGCAGCTCACACAAAAGCGAATAGACATAGACACAAAATAGTCATAGTCTCAGCACACTGAGACACATTTACTTGCATGCATGCTTGGCCCTGTGCGCCTGTGAAACAGCGGGATGTAGCTCCTCAGTGTCAACTCCAATCGCTGTGATCTAAATGTATAAGAATTGATGGTGCCTTCCACCAAATGCTGTTATGGGGGACCTGGTTTGTTTATTTAATGAAGCCAGTGTCACAGCGGATCTGCG